GAAATCAAATAAATCCTTTTTCAAGAGAGACAAGTCTTTACGACAACTTTCAACTATTTATTTTCCCAAATACTTCTCATATAAATACAGAATTTATGAAATACACGCTTTTAAACACTTCGCAAATCGATGGAAAATTTAATTTTAAAATTTTCTAATAACTTCTTCTTAAGTAATTCATCACTTATTTGGTAAATGTCTCACACAATACATGAGAAAATATTTTGGCCACAAATATTTCTCACTATTTTGAATGGATGGAAAATTTAATTTTAAAATTTTCTAATAACTTCTTCTTAAGTAATTCATCACTTATTTGGTAAATGTCTCACACAATACATGAGAAAATATTTTGGTCACAAATATTTCTCACTATTTTGAATGGAAAGGGAGAGAAGAATACGGAAGAATGAGAAGAGAGAGAGAGAGAGAGAGAGAAGTTTTCAGTCATTGAATCGTTTCTTTAAGAAGTTGTTTCGAAAACTTTATTGTTATTTGAAAGGGAAGTGCGAGAAACCAATGGGAACTCAAAGACCTGCTCACAGAGTGTACTAAAGTTTGAAGGAATTTCTTCTTATTTTCTATTTTCTTCATATAATCGCTGCAATCGTTGCGAGAAAACTGTTTGACAACAACTTCTCAATTCGTTTTGAGTTTTCGCAACAAAAATGAAAAAATTAAATATTTTCTTCCCTTTTACTAACGATTCCAATCTTCAAAAACGTTTCCAAAAAAGGTTTGAGAGAATTGTATATAAAACCCAAACATTGCGTTTGACGGAGAGATTGATTTTTTTCAATATTTTGCAGCATTTATAGTGGAATCATATTTTTTAGATTTCAACTCATCTCTCTCTCTCTCTCTCTCTCTCTCTCTCTCAACTTCATCTCAACTAAACCTTTTTTATTGCACTCGAAATAATAGCAAACCATATCGGAGGCAATGGTATGGTGTGAATAGCAAACAGCCACAGATGTCATACTGAATGCTGACTGAGTTTGTGGTGGTCTCACTCCACACACACACTATGTGTCCAATACTAGTCATTCGCTTTTATTATTTTTTAGTTGACAAACGAAATGGCAAATAGAGTCAGTGTTTGGGTCAGTGTTTGGACTCTTCTTTCAATGACGAGAATGTGTTTCCCTCTCAAGCCATACACCACTATATTAAACGAAATATAATTCTATACAACAATACAATACATTTATAATATATAGAAAATTGGCACAAAAATAGAAAAATACTTTTCGATTCAATGATGTTCTGTATATATAACTATATGTTCAGTATATACTTTGTATGTGTGCTCTCGGGACCAAAAAAGGCTGTTATGCCAAACAATTCATCTGTACTTTCAATGTATCCATATATAAATATTAACTCTTATGTGACTCAACCAGTAATGCCTTTCCATTTCTCTCACTCGATATTATTATTATATTAACAAAATTTAATTTTAAAATTCTTCCATTATTTTGCACTTATGTTCGTGTTTTTAATTAGCTTTCATTCACTCATAAGTTTGTTATTCATTGCAATACAGTATCTTTCCAAAACTGAAGTCTCTCTCTCTCTCTCTCTCATCACTTTTCAAATATTCATAGACTCTTTTTGATAAACAAAATTAAATAATGTATTCAATGCTTTGTCTAAACATAGGATTTAGTCATACATTAAAGTCTCTATAATTAACTGAAGTGTAAGAATGGATTCCCAAAATTGTTATGAAATACTTGTGATACTCGTTAGACTCGTATATAATAGAAAAATATACAAAAGTTGATGAGTTGTTCAGAGATTAAATACAATGTTTGTATAAGGATACTGTCAGCGACTGTTATCCCCTCACAAAATATTAATCTCAAAAGTTCATCAAAAGTTGATTGTATTTAAAACAGAGAAAATGTCTTTATTTCTCGATTGAAAGTTTCATTTTGAATGAAAGCTCCGGAGAGCACAACACTCTTCGTAATTATATTATACACCTCTCAATGGTTTTGGCTATTATTCCCATGAATTAAATGCTATTGTATTAAAATGGTTAATAAAGAGTTTGTATATTCATTGGGTTTGACATGAACTCAAAGCCCAACTGTTTTCTGAGGGAAAAAACTTTTGGCAAACACTTGAAGCCAATCGATGCAAATGAAACGATTGCACCGAAAAAGGTTACGTTCGGTAACACAAACACTAAGAACTGAATGCAATATTTATTTCTCACTGCCTTTTCATCAGTAATGCACTACTAAAATGCCATTTGAAGGCAAAAAGGGTTTTGTCTCGTCTCACACATGATATACAGCACAACAACTCTTATATACAGTAAGAGTTTTTAAAACATGAAAAGGTTTCGTACGGAACAAAAAAATATTTTCTTTGAATTTTTAATGCATTGCGTTTTTTGTCTGATTTATATTTTAGGAGCAAAATAATAAAATTTTTAAAAGTTTAAACTAATAGTGAGAATATGTTTGAAAAAGTACGGGAAGCCTAAAGAATTTTCAGTTCACTTCTTAACTTCATTTATGAGTACTTTAGAGACATCAGGAATTGAAGGGAAATACTGTTCATTCGCTTCGGTATGTATTACCATAGGAGCGATGGTTTAGCATCATATAAATGATGTGTTTTGTCTGTAGAGCACGTATTGAACACATATTAACTACAATTAAAGCGATGCCTCAAAACCTTAAACTTATGTCGTATTGCAATCAAACAAAGTTTCCCACATTTTTAGTCTTTACACTCCATTATAATTAGAAAATTTTCATTTTTGTTTTTGCATTAATTTTTTAATTAATTTTAATGAGAAGTTTAAACATTAAACATCTTTATTGCACTCGATGTTAGAGATTGAATATAAAGCGAATAAAGAGAATATACAAATAAAAATATCAAAATTGTATTATATTTTTAGAAAATATTTACTGAAAACTAAAACTAATTTAATATAATGTGAAGTGAAGTGAATAGAGAGAGGGAGTGGGGAATAGAGATGGGAAGGGGAGGCATAGATTTGTATTTTGCTATACATAACCAGCAAATGTGACATTTATATTATGCATACTTTAGTGCAGGTGCTCTCCTCTCTCTCTCTCTCTCTCTCTCTCTCTCTCTCTACTCTCGTATCACTAAATATAATAAATTGTCTGAAAATACATTTGAGTAATGCTTTTGTGTTGTTCTCTCTCTCTCTCTCTCTCTCTCTCTCTCTTTCTTTCTCTCTCTCTCATCGAAAACAGACAGCGATTTGTGTCTCACGATTGTAGGACTCAATCGCGGGATTCTTCCCTCAATAGCCTTCAAATGAGACAACTATTACAGAGAGTCTTAAATTAAAATCAAAACATACGACCATTTATTGTGAGAGAGTTTAGGAGGGATTTGTCAGAAAGTATGCGTTTAGAAGATATTATGGAAATGTATTCTCAAATTTCGTTTACATGTAATGATGGGTTAGAAAACGTCTGACGAGAGAACAGAAAGTGAAAGAGAAAACACAAACACAATGTTTAAAGGGTAGGGAATTGCGGCTAAATTTGTGGCAAATAATAGTTTTTGGAAATCCAAACACAATAAGCAAAAAGCAAGTCATCTCTTATATAAGGCTTAATGTATAGACATTTTGCCGCAACAAAGATGTGTCAGTGATTGAGGTAATGGTCATCACATCAACGCATATCACATGCCATCAAATCATAAATTGCATACTTTTTCGAGACTCCAGACAACAGTTCGTGTGTCGAAAAGCAACAAAACTTTCTCCACTTATTTCGACTTATTTTGATGTTTTGGCCATTTTTTGCGGGGAAACGCCTCAACGCAAGTGATGAGAGGGATATTGCAGTCGTTATGCCTTCTCATCACATGAGTTAATACCTTTGGTTTGGCATAATATAAATTGCTAGGTGTGGGTGAGGTTACACTTATATTATATGCTCATGCCAGCGCTATATTATCATTACTGGCGTACAGACAAGTGAGTGTTGATCATCAGTATCCAGCCCTCAGAGAGCGAGTGCCACTCATTCATACCATTTCATGATTGAAACCTCCCCTCCATTTTGACTCAAATTAATAATATATTATAAATATCTTTATATTAAAACCATTTGTTACGATAGAAAGAGTCGGCGAACAAATACAACGAAAAAAACAAAAAACTTGTTTCAGTCATAAAAATAGGAGAAGTTTTGTTTTATCTACTCTTTTCGGGAAAGACTAATGGATTCAGAATGTAATTAATTAAAAGTTATTTGTATTTGTTTTTGCAATTCACGAATCGAGGGCCCAATTCCTCTCATTCTCTCTCATTCTTTGGCTTTTCTTTTGCGAGTAAATCATTAATTTCTGATTCAAAGCTATAAATAAGAGGCAAATGAAAATATTTAAATATATTTGCATTTCGTTTATCTGAACCGGAACTCCAAAAAGTCAGCGCTTTTAATGAGGGGTACGAGTCGTCTGTCTGTACCATAATATGTCTGTTTTATGTAGTCTTGTGTTTAATCTTAATTTTTTTGATTTATGGTCTCATTTGCAAACAATTAACTGTTCGCTGATTACAAATCAATTTGAATATGTGTTTGAATGTGTAGTCGGGAGAGAGACTCCGAGATCTCATTAAATATGCAAATTATATTAATTAAAATAATTGCTGAGCAGATGGTGTTAAGAGAGGGTACACCAAAAATAAGTGCAACGAATTGTTTGTGAAATCTTAAGCACATTCTTAATAGTCGTTTGACTAATAAATCATTTGCAGTCTCTCTGAGTCTCTCTCAGTCTCTCTGAGTCTCTCTCAGTCTCTCTGAGTCTCTCTCAGTCTCTCTGAGTCTCTCTCAGTCTCTCTCAGTCTCTCTCAGTCTCTCTCAGTCTCTCTCAGTCTCTCTCAGTCTCTCTCAGTCTCTCTCAGTCATCAGGTTTGGTGTAATAAACGCCTCATTGCTGTCACTAATTATTTATCGGTTCTTCTCTTTCTCGCACTTCTCTTGTAGTGTATCAGTGACTGGACATCAAGGTATGGGTCCGCTGGGCATCTCTGTAGCGCACGACCAGCTCAACTCATGGCAGATATTTGGTGTGGAGTTTGTGCTCACATTTCTGGTTGTGTTCACAATCTTCGCGACATTGGATCCAAACCGTAAATCATTGGGAAGCGATTCGCTGTCCATTGGTATCGCATATCTCGTCTGTTCATTGACTGGGGTATGGATTCTCATAACACATCATTTGATTGCATTTTAATTTATTACGCGTGTATTAATGACAAATTATATGATATGTGTTTCTGTGCACTGTCATACTAGTAGTAACTACACTGTAAATCCATTATTAAATATAAACATCATTTATATGTTAAATGATTATATTTTTAACAAAACATTACAAATGAATTTCGTATGAAAAATGATATAAACTTTTTACGTTACACTCATTTATAAGCAAAAAGAGTTAGTAATAGACTATTAGCGCAGAAAAACTAGACATTGATTTTAATCAGATATTACAACCAAGACGTGGAAATATAGTGAAGAGAATCCGTTAAAATATATGATCTAATTCTCAGGCGATTTGAGTTTTAGGTAATAATGCAATGATATAAATGAAACCAAATGTAAGTCTCAACTATATATTACTCGTCCACTACTTCACCATAGGATCACTTTCCTCTCTCTCTCTCTCTCCCTCTCTCTCTCTCTCTCTCTCTCTCTCGTCTTTCTCCAGAATAAATAGGAAAACATTAAGTGAAGAGCGTTTGAAACTTCTCTCTAATACTAGTAAAGAATAAATGGGTTAAAGAGACAAACAAAACCAGAAATGCCAACAATTCCTGCGAAATATCTGCCTTTAAATAGCAATTCATTGAACGCTTTTTACACTAGCGATCAATATTTGAATATTTATAGGATCGCAATGAATACATGAAACTTATATAAGAATTTCAAGTTTTAAATATCTATTTAAGCATTAATATAAGAAATGAAAAATAAAACTCAAATACCAGGAGATATATATTTGCTTAAAAAGCCAGTAAATCGTGTTTTAGATCTCTATATCAATAGAAACAATGGTTGAAAAAGTCTTTTATAATTAGTTTTTAACTCTATTTGCGATTCCATTAAAGCGATCGATAAAATTGAGTGAAATTAAATACAAAAGAGAAACAAAAAAGAAATAATTGAATAAAAGCCTAGAAATAAGTTTTCAAAATATAAGCTAAATGACTCCAAAAATAAATATACTTTTTTTCCTCTCATATAATATATTTAATAGTATTTGATTACGAAAGGAAATACTTTTTTGATTTCATTTATAATTCATTTTTTATATAAAAACAGAGAAGAAAAGTATTTTTTTTAAAATATTTCCCAATTTTATTGATTAGTAAAATAGACGTCTGTGGCTACGAATTATACGCTTATTCTCATGGATTGCTTATTATAATACTCATAATCTATTGGTTGTGAAAGTCATGAGAAAACAGAAACACTTCTCGTCCAAGAAAAGTGAATGAAAAAACAAACACAATATTATATAAGTATTCAATATTTGAAGTATTTATTTAGCACTACATCATTGAAATTGAAAAATTAAGTCAACATTAGTGGCCAAACATCTATCAAAATTCACTTAAGGAGAACCCCCAAAAAAATTAATAATAATTACTTGCGTTCAGAATCTCATATGCGTTTGAATGACAGCAATAATATTAGTCTAAAAGAAAAATATAATGCAATATAAATACCAATACATTTAGCTATTAATAAAAGGTGTTTCACATATATTCATGTATGGAATATAAATGAGTCTTAAGAATAGAAAGTATTTTCTATTTTATTATTAATTTCTCATATTTTGACAGCAAATTTATATTTTAAGTAATCTTACGTTTCATTAAGTTTGTGTTCAAATTAATTTATTTTCTTATTTTTCGCAATTAATTTATTTCTCGTTTTATTTTTTAATCACAAACTTGTATATAATTTCGGGGATCACTTCTGTAGTCTTTGAAAATTAAGAGATTTATACATTTCATAGTAAAGAGATTTTTATGGCTTTTAAGGCATTATTTAAAACGAGTCGATAGAAAACAAAAAAGTAATTTAAGGCTCAGATATAAGTTATGTAAATGATGGTAAAAGGGTCGTGAATTACAAACCGAGTGTTTATTTTATTATCAAAAACCGTAACTAAAACTGTGTTTTAAAGGTTTAGGCACTTTATTTAACAATCAATTCAAGTGTGCGAGTATAGTATCTCCTTTACTTTATATATCTTTTATACAATTTTATTTAAATTTAAATTAGTTTTATCGACGATTCGCTTAAAACTCTTTTTATTTGTGTTATTTGTCTCTCATTTTTATTTCTTAAATTAGATATAAGAGACAAATGACTGACAGAGTGGTAGAGTTCAGTCATTTTTTGGGTCAATGCAAGAATTTAATTATATTTGTGAGCAAAACCTTTATTGTGATCGTTTCATCAGTTTTTTTATTATATCTATCATTGAATAAAACTCGCGTTTCATATCAATTGATGCGATAAAGCAATAAATAAATATTAATATAATATTTGCTCTCTTTTTGCTATACTTTACGATTCCAGTCATGGCTTCAATTCTTAACATACAGTACAAAGTAGTGTAAGAATGGGTGGTATTTAATAATACTTTAATTAATAATTAAATTCTCATAAATGACTGAATCCATCATAACTCACACGAGAAGGCAATAGCCGTTAATAAGAAAAATGTAATTTTCAGACCATAAGAATAATGTCGAAAATGTAATCAACACTCTATCGGTTAGAGTAATATATTTATAATTTTTAATTTTACGATCGCTATTACTGTCCTGATGTCATACAAACTACACAAGTAACTCATATATATCACGTGTTGTTTTGAATTTACTGTATGTCATGACTCGATAGTAAGTTAATAGATACGACACCATTACCGGTAATGTCTACGATAGGTTCCATCATATTAGTCGATTCAATCTCTTGAGACTAAATGCATGGAAAAATGTGCCAAATATTTCTTATATTATTGCACCAATACTTTAGATATTAATGTTGGGATAGAGATCTACTCTAAACTCACTTAATTGTGAGAGATATTCAACTTTAGAGAGAGAGAGAGAGAGAGAGAGAGAGAGAGAGAGACTACTGGTAAAGGTTAGGATATATGTGAAGACAGGAGTAAAGTTAATGTTCATCCCATGTAATGGAAGTTCTAAGTCTACGCTCATTATTATTGATTAACATAAGAGTGTATTTGAGGCCAAAATCACTACAAAGACAAGCGTTGAGAGACAATGGAGAAGAGAAAGTAGTGTTTGAGTAAAAGTTGTGCAAAACATCACAAATGCATTACAATTGAGACCGTCTTAGGAATTGAAGCGATTTTTTGGCTAAAAAATAAATACTAAACTTACAGAAAAGGCAGAAAAGGAGAGAAAAATTAGACTTTTATTCTCCATTGAGACGGTATTGTAGTGTTTCGGTGCCGTTTGGGCCCTCTTTCTCACTCATACACAACGCTAACTGAGTTGACGTCAATCCGATTGAATGGTTGATTGAGTTTATGTTAGGCTGTAATTAAAGATCGGCTCAACCATTGGGACTGAATTTAATTTCCATTAGACTTTTCAAACTATGGATTGAGCTGATAGAGCACATACAGCACACAGATAGAGCACAGGGAGCTATGGAGGCAGTGGCCAAATATTGTCTTATTTAGTAGAGAAACGTCTTGAGAGTAAACTCGACGTTCAAATAAGATCATTAACTAAAACGGATCCACAAATTAATGGACTGAATCTGTTTTTTATATCGTTTTTCTGACAATTTTCTATTCATTTGATTGTAACCGAAAAAAGTTGAGTTTCTATTTCTCTAATTTTAACTATACATCTGTTACCCAATATATTTTTGCTATCTCCAGTTCCCCCTCCCTTTCCATTTTCTAATTGATACACTAATCGATTTATTTTTCCATTTAATTAATAATTCAAATGAGAATTAATGAATACTAGACTCAATATATTGTTTACACAAGAATTTTTGTTTATTACTATTTTTATTTTGATTAACCATTAAGTAATTGAATTTAATGCTGTGTTTTATTCTTGCTTTTCGTATGTTTATCAACACATCTGTGGTCTGACATTCACACCATTGGCGCTCTCATGTGATATAAACATATCTAAATTGAATCAATCGATTGATTAGTTACCTGCGAGTGGAGCCGCACTGAACCCGGCGCGCACTTTGGGGCCGGCGTTTGTCATGAATCGATGGAAAAATCATTGGGTATGTTATGTTCATATGAAATGATTGTTATGTCGATTGTGAGGCTGAGTTATATGACTGAGTGGTGCGAGACTGGGAGAGAGAGGGAGAGAGAAAGAAAGAGAGAGAGAGAGAGAGAGAGAGAGATGATGGGAGTGAGAGTCAGTCAGATATGAAATAAATAAAACTCTTATAGCAATCGTTCAGAAACTTTCAGAAACTACTTGTGCTCAACATATCTGCAGACATTTCATTCACATCTACAACTGATAAGTGAAAGATTTTTTCACTCGCTTTGAGTGAAACTGAATTTGGAGTCATATTCTTATAACCAGTTTTGGGCGCACTGTCTGTCAACCAGACATTATCGAGTGGTTAAAAGCACATAAAAAATAGTTATATCAACACAACAGTGACTCTTTTGGGAAATATTTGGACAGTTGTTTAGTCGAAAGTCTGCTCTCATTCGTAGCGCTAGTTATGTACTAAAAGATCAAATGAAAACAATTGAAGCAAAGCTTTTAGATTTTGGGGTTTCATGTAATGCGAGGTAACGACAGTCACTGACAGCACTCCTAACTCATACCCTTACGAGTCAGCCCTAAGCCATGTCTACTGTAGTGTACATTTAGCCAAAGAGGAAAAGGGCTGTTATTCTGTCGCTCCTCTTATATTCATATTATTTTGTCTCAATGTTAACATCGATCCGAAAACTTTTCGCGACATGTTATGAGAAAATGGCAAAACTCGGTAAAAGTCATGTAACAGTCCCTTAACTGCGAGCGCATACATCCAACAGCATATACAGACATGCAATATATTCCCGATTTTATAACTACTGAACCATTATTTTCCAAAAATACAAATTCTGTGCAAATTCTGTAGAAAGCAAATAAAATTTATGTAATGTTATTGTTTGAGAAACCGGTGTTGACTCGAGTTATCAAAACATGAATTTCGTACCAAAAATAGTTGTAAAGGAGTGAGAAATTAATTGCTTCTGCAATCGTATGATAAGCCCTAACACTGCTTGCGGTGAAAAGGCTCCTAATCTTCGCTTAATCTTAATATTGGGATAAAATATTACACACAATAAGAACTCATATTTTTATTTCCCCAGAAATAATAAAAACAAAATTCTTTGCCTAAGATTTATAGCATTTGTCTGCGAGTTCTGGTTATTACCGACTCATGAGAGATAGCGAACGCAAACGACTTTTAACCAAAAGAATTATCATTTGAAATGTTGAGTGTATTTATAAATAATATTTATTATTAAAGTCTGATTTCCCAATTCTTAACATAATTTTTCATTCGTAAAGAGAGAGCCTTTATGACTGAGTTGTCGTCTATAAACTGATTTAAAAATTGTGTAATATATTTACAATTTTTTAGTATATATTAGAGTGCTTTCCAGCAAGAGTTTCTTACTCGGAGTGATATATTGGTCGACAGTAATGGCGCTTAAATAGAGGTCTAAGAGTAGAGTCTGGAGGAAGATATCGTTTGCCTAATGTATTGATTTTTATTCGACACATTCGGCTCAACACAGACTCTATTTCGATGTTTTTCGCTCACAAGACAGCGAAAGATGTTTTTATCAGACCTTAAAAACTAGAGAATCGAAAGACATTGTGTGAGAGAAACAGTAATGTTATATCAAATAGTATTTCAAAGGCTTAGCTTTTGCTTTGCATTTCATCTTCAAGTTATATATGATATTGAAATCCAATACTAGGCGCAGGTTTGGCAACAGAATAAATATAACAATTTTGAGCGCTTCGTCCTATTATGCCATCCCTTCTGTTAAGAATTGTATTAAAAAGTAAGCATTTCTCTCTCGGAAATACTGACTCAACAGCAGATATTTGACTAAATTTTTAACACATTATATAAATGTTAAAAAATCATATATAATCTCACGAAAGGTCGTTTCATTTCTTACTCGGAGTGATATATTGGTCGACAGTAATGGCGCTTAAATAGAGGTCTAAGAGTAGAGTCTGGAGGAAGATATCGTTTGCCTAATGTATTGATTTTTATTCGACACATTCGGCTCAATACAGACTCTATTTCGATGTTTTTCGCTCACAAGACAGCGAAAGATGTTTTTATCAGACCTTCAAAACTAGAGAATCGAAAGACATTGTGTGAGAGAAACAGTAATGTTATATCAAATAGTATTTCAAAGGCTTAGCATTTATTTAGCTTTTGCTTTGCATTTCATCTTCAAGTTATATATGATATTGAAATCCAATACTAGGCGCAGGTTTGGCAACAGAATAAGTATAACAATTTTGAGCGCTTCGTCCTATTATGCCATCCCTTCTGCNTTAGCTTTTGCTTTGCATTTCATCTTCAAGTTATATATGATATTGAAATCCAATACTAGGCGCAGGTTTGGCAACAGAATAAGTATAACAATTTTGAGCGCTTCGTCCTATTATGCCATCCCTTCTGCCATTCCTTTACAACACTTTTATATATTATATTTTGTTTTTTATAAATGAATCCCCAATAGTTTCAATTTTCGTTTGTTGTTAGCCCTGTGCTCTCCTGAGCTACTGTTCCGATTCATATATACGGCTATAGTCTAGAAATTAGGGCCAATGCTTGTGATCGTAGTGGAAGTATTGGTTCGTAAGTTATTTTGTAGAAATCAATCTCAAGAGAGGGACAAACTTTTCTCTCCACTAAATACACGCAAAGATAGTGTAGAGTATAGAGAAAGTAGACGTGAGCTGAGAGTGGAATCCAATTCTGGAGAATGAGAGATGGAAAGCCTTTTATACAACACATACATCCCATGGAATGCTAGCTTCAGTGAACACATAGAGGAGAGAGAGAGAGAGTGAGAGAGAGAGTGAGAGAGGGTGAGAGAGAGAGATGCCGGTGTGCTAAATGGGATGACAATATCACACACACAACCTGAAAGTGATTGTTTGAAAACGAAACAAAACTTGTATTCACTTTTTGAAGGCATTGACTCAATTGTATTCGCTTTTCATTTATCAAAATTAACTCCTCTTATAACATAAGAGATGACACATTCGTTTCACAATGCATTCAATGAGAACTTAATCCTTCATTTTATATTACTTTATTTTACAGGTCTATTGGTTGGGCCCTGTCTTGGGGGGAGTGTTGGCCGGTTTGATCTATGAGTACATATTTGACACTAAAAAGTCTGGAAAAACAATACGCGAGGCCTTTGATGAACTGGAAAGAGGTAAGCATTTGTACCATAAAATCATCTAAACCCTAGATCTGTGTTAATAATATAACCTAATATTAAATAACAAACACCAGAATAGACAACAAATAGACAAATAAGAGAAAGAATAGACAACAAATCAAGTCCACAGTAAAGTGAGACTTATTGGGAGCCGGGGTTACAATATTAGAGCCATTGAACCAACGGTTAGAACATAATTATTCTAAACAAGCGTAGGAGACGGTGAGCGAAGGTCACTATGGTCTGAACTCAGCTCTCTTATCACGTCGTCTAAAAGTCACTCTTGGCCCAAAACGTGTATTTTTACGGAAAACCCACGTTTTGATGTTTTGGCAGTTTTACGGTTGTTTTTTAGTATGCTTTTTTTAGTAAGTTAAATAACTTAACATCAGATAAAAACGGAGATTTTTGACTAATACATAAGGATAGAATCGGAGTTTAGACTCACTGAAAATCGTGTTATGAGACGAGGATTCGCTACAATTCTTATGGTCTTTAATATCGCACTGAATATTCCGATTCTCATTCAGATTCTGTTTCAATTCCGATTCATTCGCTAACTTTTCTTTGCATGCCTTCCCACCAAAACATACGGAATAGTTTGCATTATTTGGTGCCTTATTTGTTGGCCTCCATCCTCTCATGCCATCTCCCAAACCGTTATTCAATACATTTCTTTGTGTCTTCCGTTATATAATATATATAAACCATTTTAAGTATAGATTGCAGGCCTTATCGCAAATATATTATACGAATATATTTTTTCTGCGGATTCCGTATCGCATATATCGTCGGAGAGAGAAAAAAAAGTCAATTGACTCACAATTTCATGTGTTATTTGATTTCTTGATGTGCGGCCAAACAAAGTGGAAGTGGCGACCAATTCCTTGATTTGTTCCCTTCGAGTCGCCATATGTTGCACAACACTATTGCCAGAGGAGAAGTTGAGCCCAACTTCTCTCTCTCTCTCTCTCTCTCTCTCTCTCCTCTAAATTATTGCCTCAAATCCGGAGCACAAGTGGTATATAAACTATTCAGTGGTCTATTCAGAGCCTCTATTTTTTGTACGTCGATATTATTCTCGAGAAATAACTTTATGCCAAACACTTCGGCTCTCAATCTCGAGTCAAAACTTCAACTTTTCTAACCCTTAAAAAGAGTACTGTTTTTCCCCTGAGTTTTGTAGTACTGATGGCTTGTGTAGCACAGCATTAGCACAATGAAGCCAACGGTTCCCTTCAATCCGTTTGATTTATGTCTTTTCACTTTTTGCTCCCATTTTTATGTATTATATAACTTATATATATTTTCTACAATTTATACACAGAATCCAATTTAGACGACGACTACGAGGACCCGGATATTAAGATCAATAATAAGCCAGTGGTCGCCTACAGCACCACATCCGGCACCTCCTCCGGCAGTAGTAGTGGTCATCGCTCTAATCACACCCAACAGAGCGCTGTCAGCGTTCACGCCAACAACGGGTCGGGCGGTCATTACGACAGCTTCCGAACGATGGCCACAATCAACGCCTACACTCCCACTCCGGCAGCTCTGGACGGTGTGGGCGTCTATGGGAACGGCGGCGGCGGAACACCACATCACGTCAAACTCCCGTCCAATAACTATCACCCAAATAACTCCAACTACACCGCCGTTTACGGCACTCAACGCTATGGACACAACACTCTCAGACAACTGCCCTCACGAATGGATTACAGCGCGTCGGTGGCCGTGTCTACCGGTCCCGGCAATACCAAGTTCTAACATTTCTGCCAGCAAAGTGACTGGATAACTTAATATAATTTTGTTTAATTAAATATTATGTGTATTTCATGTGTAAATAACCATATTTTGCATATATTATGGAGTTTTTTGTAGTGTTTTTCTGTTTAATCATACTATACTCCTTACCTCCGTATTTTATTTACTATTAAGCGAATACAAAACCACCTTTAGAACAGTGTCTGTCTCTTTCCGTAAGTAATTTTTGTATGTTGTTAATATACAGAAAACATGATTTCGAAAATGAAAAATAATTCTTACATTTAAAACACAAAATTATGAACATTTGTTAGTTATATTACTTATATACTCATTGTGTTTGTACATTGAATACAATGCGAAACAAACTGTGTATTCGCTGTCGGCAATACTGATTAGCCGTATATTATAGTTATTTTATATTATTATTGCGTTATATGTATTGTAAATAATTAATTAAAATACCGAAAAATATACATAAATTTGCGAAAAAACTTTTTGCTTTTTCATTAAAATTAATGAATTTCTTTAATATTAGTTTTGCTTTTGAAATGAAAATGAGTTTTAAAAAGAGAGTAAAAGTAAGTATAAAATCGATTCAAGAAAAAACTCATTTATGACCGAAAAGAATATTCTGTTGGTTCTCAACGTCTCCTCTCCTTTCACTCAATGGGTATTATAACATATATTTGTCTGAATTTCAATCGACTCTTTCATTGAGTGGGAGAGAGAGGAGAGAGAGAGAGAGAGAGAGAGTGTATGATATGAGGAATGGAGGCATAAAATAAATGATAATTCGCTTATGTTTTGGTGGAAATCTTGTCACAGACAGAGAAAGGCATTCATTAAAAACATACAACAATTATATGTCTTTTGTACTAAAGAAAAATGAAAAATAATTCTTACATTTAAAACACAAAATTATGAACATTTGTTAGTTATATTACTTATATACTCATTGTGTTTGTACATTGGATACAATGCGAGACAAACTGTGTATTCGCTGTCGGCAATACTGATTAGCCGTATATTATAGTTATTTTATATTATTATTGCGTTATATGTATTGTAAATAATTAATTAAAATGCCGAAAAATATACATAAATTTGCGAAAAAACTTTTTGCTTTTTCATTAAAATTAATGAATTTCTTTAATATTAGTTTTGCTTTTGAAATGAGAATGAGTTTTAAAAAAAGAGTAAAAGTAAGTATAAAATCGATTGAAGAAAAAACTCATTTATGACCGAAAAGAATATTCTGTTGGTTCTCAACATCTCCTCTCCTTTCACTCAATGGGTATTATAACATATATTTGTCTGAATTTCAATCGACTCTTTCATTGAGTGGGAGAGAGAGAGAGAGAGAGAGAGAGCTATAACAACGGGAATGAAAGTATACTTATATAATACATAAGAGAGAATGTAATGTATGTCTCGTTTTTCTCATTTGAGTCACTGATAGTTTTGGATTGAGTTTGAGTTTTCGAGTCGTGTACTTGTTTTATGAAGTGAACACAAATCGTGTCCAATAATAACACAACACTTGCTTTAGTCGACAATTTTCTTTATGAACTCTTATTTCACGAAAAAAATCTTATATAATATTAGGGCACACGGGAGACAGTAATTGACGGGTAGGGCCGACACAAACACACCAATACGACTGTCCATTATTTCATTGGCCCTCTAAATCAGCTCCAGTTGTAAAAACATAATATATTTTTGTTTTCTCAAAAAGCAGGCAAACGTTGAAAAAGATTTTTTATTATTATATTCCTTACTCTTAAACCTCATATACATGTCGAGCGACGAAATATTCACAAGTATTGCAAAAATAAGATAAAAGAAAACGTAAAGCAATGCAAGAATCGCTAGACAAGAGTCAAAACTTATGTTTTCTATTCCAGTGATAATCAAAATATATTGCCTTAAAAACACATTATTTTATTGTAATAAAGGAGAGAATAGAATAGAGAAATATAAGTATAGAAACAGTTTTGTCAAAATAACAAATTATAAAAAGGAATAACAGTTTTTTACACACTTTCTACACTTTTTTATGAAATTAAATGAGAATCTCGTCGACCAAAGCATATGAAGAGTGAAAAGAGAGAGAAAATTCATTTTTTTCCATTCATAATGTTCTGCGAAAAATGCATTTTTTATTCACTTTATCTGAGGTCTGAGTAAAACATACGATAAAGTCATTACTTATATATAACTCAACACAAAATTGAGATAAAGTTATAGTTTTTTCATAATATACAAAACATATCATATTATATATAAGAGTCTCTTTAGAATATTTAAACATTAAATAACATAACGTAGAGTTGAGGGGAACGGGAGTTGTAGACAACGGCGAGAGGAGAAGCACTTTTCATATGATCAGGTGATTAAAAATGAGTCAAAATATAACTTTTTTAGACACGATTCTGGATCTCTTGGACGACAACACACTTGCAGAGGATGTCATACGCGGCCCTATTGTGTGGGGACAGGAATACTGTGAGCGACGCCGGGATAAAGAAGACTGCGCTTAGGTTTTTGATAAGAGCGCGAAGTAATGACCTAATGGTTGGATGTGTGGAGAGACAGACACAGAGTGAATGAAATGAACAATCATTGAGTCAAACATTATTAAAAGGCAACAAAAATATGAGATAATGAATGGTCTGATGGGAAGCTACTGTACCAAAGAATTCCGATATTTTTGGCGGGATTTACGCGAATCAGACCATTGCCTAAGTCGTCGATTGTATCACAGGAAACGACTGAAATGCCGAATATGGCTTTGCCGGGTGTCGAACCCCCTTCCCTTCCCATTTGGCCAGAATATAGACATATTGTCTGTGCGTTCAGACCAGACATCGGACCAGATATGACGGCAAACCGTAAAAAAGATAAGAAAAGTACAAAGAATTGATTACTTAAATGGTATAATACTTGAGAATCTGACAAAAGATTGGCATTTGATTAGACATTAAAGAGATCGCATCTCATGGTCTTATGGTTACCATTATTGATGTAATACTTGCCTCGTATGCGCACACAATAAACCGGTGAATCATTTCGATGATTATGATCTCCGAAGTCAATTCGTATGCCATTTGGAGCGCATCGAAGTCGTTGTCCAATAAACTCAAATCAAATTTATCCAAATCTCTACACAAATCAATACATCAATACAGGCATCCAATTCATTATTCATTGTATGATTCAATACTCGCTGCAAAAATCTATACTAATAATAATAATAAAATAATAACAAAACTACGGCTCTAAACACACTAACAATAGTATGGCATTTGTCTACAGAATCTACCATAAGATATGAAATAAATATTTAAGTAATAGATAGTTATGTTGTGCAGCGCTATAAATATTGTATTTGAGAGCTATTGAGAAATTATTTGCAATCGAGTCATAAGACCATAACATACATGAGATCGAGATAATCGACGGCAACGTATGTTACCATTAATTTGAGAATCAAAAGGAAACAAAAATCAATGACTTCTGCTGTGATTCGCTTCCAAAGCCGTGGAATCGCAAACACCCGTCCTATCGATGCATACCATACCATACCAGACCATACCATACCATACCATACCATACAAAAAACATAGTGAAAGAAAAAATATGATTGATTTATTCAAGTATTAAAAAATAGCACTAAATCTCATATCTTTTATACTCTCATATATAATATTTTACTGAGAATTTAATTTATTAAAAGAAAAATTGTTTTTTCTTTACTTTTTTGTGTGACTTCGAGAAAACAACGAACAAAATCTCGTTTTATTAAAATATATGATAAAGAAATTGAGTGCAAAACGAATAGCAGAGAGAGAGAGAGAGAGAGAGAGAGAGAGAGAGAGAGTTGATGAGGTGGGGATCAAGTGATGGATAAATAGATGCCCGGATGAAGGGACCGGTGATGAGGTGGGGATCAAGTGATGGGAGAGAGAGAGAGAGAGAGAGAATAATAGAGAAGCAGTGAGAGTGCGATAGAGGAGAGGGATGCGAGGGATGTGTTGGGAGAAGAGGTTGTGTTGAGTGGAAGTGGAGGAGAAGTAGAGGTTTAGTAATTTGGTTCTCATAACTCGTCTCATATCGTCGTTCATAACATTCTCATCGCATTTAATCGCATGAAAAAGCTTTGCTCAGACACTCAGCACTACAGTGTGATTGCAATGGCAATGCCATCGATGGCATCGAGAGGACAGACAATTATTTGCGAGTCATTCCCGGAATGGTATGACAACTATTGAACACAACATATGATATTCGAAGCCAACTATCAAATTGTCTTCTCTCTCATCATTCCTCTACTTTTTTTATCTCTAAGAATATTCTTCACTCACTTTTGGCACACTTTGAGTTGAAATCATAAATGAATTGATTGCACATCAAATCAAATCATACTTTATTTGTGAAAAACCATTTCATATGATTCCAGGCATTCATTTGATGTCATTGTGTGCATTGAACACAATCTCAAACTCTATTGGCATTAATGATGCCTTTTCTCTATTAAGACAATCGTATGTAACAGTGCTTTATGTGTTTAAAAGGCGTCGGAATGGCAGGAGAAATAGTTAGGGCTATAATAATAGTTTATTTGAGATTTTAGGCAATTTTGTTAACTAGTAAAGCGAACCAAACGAATGTTGAAATTCACTTTTACTTCATTGCCTTGTCTTGTATTCAACAAATCAGATAATGATTGCATCCAAAGAATAAACAATACATACAAACACTCCAAACATTATAACTAATTGTATAAACACTGATCTCCACTCCATTCGCATTCATTTGACATCTATTTTAAAAGCCTTAAAAACAACTGTTTTCAACTCAAATCAAATATAAATCTATCGTTTTATAAACGAACCCAGAATTCAGTGCAAACTAACGCTAAACATATTCTGTATATTCTATACAATCTGCAACTCTATAGATAAACAGCAATAATAATTGTCAGCAATTGTATTCACCCAAAAAATTATCAACATTTCGACTCAAATAAAACACAAATTTCTTCTCCAATTAAATGAACACAAGGGAGAAGTGTCTCGAAATAAATGCATGCCTTTAAGCTTATTAACAGTCGACTACACTATCAATCAATTTATGGTTTTTTATTTGTAAAACTTTGTGTTTAGGCCTATATTTGATGAAATAAACAAAAAAGGCACAGAAATATACCGACAGTTACAGCGTTTAGGGGTTTTTAGTGTTTCTCCTGAAGCACAAGAGAAACACAAATTTGTTTAACTCTACGAATGACTGACTGAGAGATAGAGGAGAATATACAGTATTGTCAGACAAATAGGGAGTAAAAAGTTTCTGTTAAACATCTCTCGTAATGAATTTGATCAGAAAAACATAATATAATTAGATTTAATGCTTACGTTTTCATATATATATAATAAAACTATATTAAAAACAAATACAATTAGTGCTCCGATTCGAAGGGGAAAATATGTTTGGAAAAAATAGTAAAACAGTACAGTATTACAGGTAAAGCAAAAGTTAAATCAAATCAAATAAATACTTTTTTGCCTATAAATTCAATTCTCAAAACTATTATGTTATACGAAAATTATATGAAAAAATTCTCCGAAAAAACTAAAACCAAAGTTTGATTTCAAAGTGATTGATATCATGAAAAAACTGGTCCACAAAAATGCCGCAAAAATTTATGTCACAAACAAGTTGTACTTCATTTCAATTAAGCCGTGGATTGATTTGTGGTCTTAAACACCAAAAAAGCAACAAAAAATTAAATCTAATTATAAACTCAAGAGTACGGTATGTGAAGAGAGAGAGAGAGAGAGTCAACTGCACTGTAACCCAAGAATTCAATTACAAAAAATTAAGAAATTTTTCTTTTCATTTAGGACTTCACTTCACTCATCAGTTTTTAAGTGAAACACTTCAGGCATTAAATGAACTCAAATTGATTTCCAAGACTCAGGGCTCACTTCACGACACACTCTCTCTCAACAAAAATATTGTTTTGTTGTCAACAATATTTTCAAAGTTAGAGTCGCGACTGGAAAAATCGATTCACAAAACAGCTAAATATAAAATTCATTTGAAAAATAAATAAAATTTGCATTTAAAGTGATTTCTCACAACTCTATCGATATATGATATCATCAAATAGTCATTTGGAAGTCCATTCTCTCTCTCTCTCTCACACACACTCTCTCTCTTTCTCACTCTCTCTCTCTCTCTCTCTCTCACTCTCTCTCTCTTTCTCTCTCTCTCTCTCTCTCACTCTCTCTCTTTCTCTCTCTCTCTCCTGATTTTCAATTTTCTGATATCCCATACATTGAGTCGACTTATGCGACAAAAAAGTGTTCACAAAAAGTGTTTCGTTTGAATCAATGGATTGAGTGATTAATTACATATAAAAAGAGCAAAACTTTAATAATATTGCGATTAAATCGGAGTTTAAATGCTTTTTATACTAAAGTAGACATAAATAGCAAACATTTCAGGCATTGAATAGTATATCAAGTGATGGATAAATAGATCCCGGGATGAAGGGATCGGTGATGAGGTGGGGATCAAGTGATGGGAGAACTAATGCCATCTGAAAGTGGTTGACATCAACACAAACATCGGGCAAAAGCAAAGAAGTCACGCAAAAGGCATGCAATGGATCTGATAATGGATCAAATGACTGACCATTTTGTGGTCCATTGGTCGCCATATTATTAACGAAAGTTTGGTTCATATTATTGATTAAGAAATTGAAGTGATTTGGTGTCGAAGACGGTGTCGACTGCATGGATGCCATAAACAGCTAAATATAAAATTCATTTGAAAAATAAATAAAATTTGCATTTAAAGTGATTTCTCACAACTCTATCGATATATGATATCATCAAATAGTCATTTGGAAGTCCATTCTCTCTCTCTCTCTCTCTCTCTCTCTCACACACTCTCTCTCTCTCTCTCTCTCTCTCACTCTCACTCTCTCTCTCCTGATTTTCAATTTTCTGATATCCCATACATTGAGTCGACTTATGCGACAAAAAAGTGTTCACAAAAAAAGTGTTTCGTTTGAATCAATGGATTGAGTGATTAATTACATATAAAAAGAGCAAAACTTTAATAATATTGCGATTAAATCTGAGTTTAAATGCTTTTTATACTAAAGTAGACATAAATAGCAAACATTTCAGGCATTGAATAGTATATCAAGTGATGGATAAATAGATGCCCGGATGAAGGGACCGGTGATGAGGTGGGGATCAAGTGATGGGAGAACTAATGCCATCTGAAAGTGGTTGACATCAACACAAACATCGGGCAAAAGCAAAGAAGTCACGCAAAAGGCATGCAATGGATCTGATAATACCTAGTTTACTGACTGGTAAAACACCAGGTAACCAGCGGTATAATAATTGCTTTCAAACCAAGTATAATAACTAATTCTTTAACTTCACTAAACCACAGCTTCTGCCACAGCTGACGTACCTACGGTCCGAAGACATGATGAGGGGATAGTTGTGGGCAAACCAGTTGTATTGCATCGTCTGAAGGAAGGTATGTAAGTTCACAACCTGCATAAGCAACGTGCAGAACATCCCTTCGCGAACAACAGGTGGTCACGACCTTCACGACCTTCACGACCAGTAGCCTCACAGTAACTCCGGTGACAACAGTTGGTTTCCAGTCCTGCGACGTCTGACACTCACATCGGGCTCCTGTCCCTCATTGTCAGCCATTTGTGGTGACGGATTGGGATCTGATTGACAGATTGTGTGCAAATGAAAACCAAATGAAAAACCAAAACAATAATCTATTTGAAGACCAAATGAACACTGATTTCACTTTCAGTTTACGTTACGAACCGTTATTTGTACGACAATTACGGCCATAAAAGCACTCATTATTTTCATTCATTTCTAATTAAAACTACATTTAAGTCATAAATGTTTTGTAAATTCATTGAGTTTTAAATAATTAACATTAACTACTAATAGTGTTTTAATCTATAGTTAACTATATTTACATTTATATCATCTCTCAATTGATTTCATGTTAGCATTTAAACGACGTTTTTGTGTCAATACATAACAAAAACACGTTTTGTTTAAAAGTCCGATAAAAACAAAACAATTGTTAAACTGATTGTCATTTTTGTCGACAATTTCTATGATTTTATAGACATTTGAATAAAGTTTAGCAGAAATGTTGAAATCAATGGTAATGTTTGCGGGTATGAGACGAGTGGTGATGACATCCAATGGCTTCCAGTCACTCATTAGACGCCAATTGAGTTCTTCGGACAACAGATCCAGTGATGACCAGTCGGTCAGTAATGAGATATTGTCTGAACTGAAGACACAATCAGATGGAAGTGAAGGCAATGAGCTATCGTTTGCCAAAGCGTTTGAAAAGTTTGACAAATTATCTAAAGAGAGGCTCAACGGCAAGAAAGTGGCCACCGATGAGGTGTCGGAACCGTTTCCCACACTTCTTAGGCACTCAAATAAGTACGTTAACCCTCTGGGCCTCCCTTTCCATCACTAGCCTGCGCACCTCCTACACCAGCTTCTGCTGAACATATATCTGAAGCCGAAGTTTAAATTACCGCAGACGTCTGCTGGGTTTTGATACCACAGGTTTGTCCGTCACTTGTATTACACGAGACAATGACTGATGGGATGTATTGATTGGACAGCGAATACGTGAGAGGAGCCAAAGTGAAGGTCCGGATCAATGACTTGGAACTGTCTGACAGATTCTTGGGCTCATCCAAAGACATGACTCTATTGGAGGCCGACATCACTCTTATGGGTATCGTTTGGTCGCCCGCCAGAAGTGGTCATCAGAAGACTGAACCGAATACTGATGTAATGAATAATGTTATCTAATGTAAGGTATGACCAGATTTTGCTAAACAATTCGTGAGTCACGAAAGATTAGGTATTTAGACATTGGTATAGAAATATTTCATTTAGTCAATCAAATCATTGTTAAAATCCATTATTTTTATTCAATGTACTGTATATGTAGTCAAAAAAAATGAGACAATTTGACAAATAAATAGCCGCTAATAATAATAATAATAATAAATTAAATCGAAAGCAATTTAAATCACAACACATTTGATATAACGAGTATATATTGCTATAAAATAATAATTAAAAAATAATATAAATTATAACATCAATCGACATGATTATGACAATCACTGAAAGTTTTTGTAAATAAATTTATAAATAAATTCTCTATTAATCAGACATTATTTTGTAATATATATCGTATAATTTACACACTTTTAGTCCCAAAAATACACTGCCGAGAGAGAGCACACATCTGAATGGCACCAAAAGGAATACCAATCCCTTCACTATAACCGCCCATATCTTTCAGTCTTATTATTATTATTAGAAGTTATTTATAAGCGATGAGTGGATTCACAATAATGAATGAGTGAATAATAAGTGTTTTTGAATACGAAATGATGCGAAACACGATTTGCGATATTAATGTCATTAAAAATTTAATGTTTCGTTCGAGAGCTCAGTCTTTAGGAAATAATAATCGTCTCTTAGATCGACGCCCAAAATACATGTCAAGGATTTCTTTGTGACCAACTCTTGGAAACAAAAAAGTTAATCTCAACCGTCATTATGTCATCACTTTATATATGCTATCAAACATTAATCGGACTATTCTTTTGAGGGTTTTTACTGACATTTCAAACGATTCGCACGACAAACAAAATCTTTGGTCACATTTTAGGAAAACATATTTTGATATATATTTTAATGAGATTCGAGTCAAATGTAAATAAGTGTGATTTGACTATGTGTTTGAGACTATTTTGTATATCAATTGAGTTATGATTCGCTAAAAAATGATGTTATTATGAGGTTTCGGGTTATTATACACAACATTAGACCCAAATAATAGGCCAGTAGTCATGACATGACATCGAAATGTTTAAAAACACTTATCACTCAAATAAGTAATATATTTATGAATTGTGTGTTGAAGTCGACTACTCGTCGACTCGATTATGCGGTAAAAGGCTTTAAAATAATTTATATAAAAAACGTTTCTGTAAACCAATTGAAAAAACTGAGCGGAAATGGTCTCTCAAACGTGTTGTGGTCTTAAGAACTCGTCGTAAGAGTCACTGTTATCGTTGTGGTGAACGTCTACTTTACAAAACATATTGCCTGATGCGTGGGGAGGGGTGTGAGTGAGGAGACCCTTCTCGTCGTACACATAAGAGGTGCGATTGTCGGGCGGCAGCGGCGGTGGCAGTGGAGGCGGATCTCCGTTCGGAAGATACTTAAAATTATTCATATTCTTCTGGAAGGGGAGGGAGGCGTAAGACGCTTCGTCACTCTCCTCGGCGATTGTCTCGTGAGCCCAGAGCACCGCCGGCTGTCCCGGTCGGGCCAGCAATGGCTTAGTCTTATCAGAGGAGTCACTGTAACGGAAGGCAAGGGATCCCTCTTCGGAGACGACACTCGTGCGGGCGCTCATCTGAGGTGTGGTGTGAGAGGTGTCGATGTATTGGAATTGTTTCGAAGGACTCGCCGAAAGTATGCCGGCTTTCATGAGCTGAACATTTCTCTCCTCAACCTTTATGTAGACATAAGCGGCCGAACAGGCGATCACTATAATCACGATCGCCACCAGAATCGGGATCAACACCGCTGTCCGCATATATGGCGGCACTAAACAGATATCAACGACAAAAGTGCATACATTTAGCATTAAACGTAGAATTGAGGTATATTTGTACAGAATTAATACTTATTTCAATTACAATAATAATAAGACATATGATGTAAACAATTTATGATTTATTAGAAAAATATCATTTGTTGTCTAAATATATCTAATTTCTAAGCAAACGATTGTCGGATAACCGACCGCTAACTGCTATAATAAGTTCAAAGTATTTTTAAACCAATATATTCTGTATATATCCTATCATTCAATTGAAAGCATTTAAGAAGAATATAAAAAACAATTTAAAACTCATATCTATATTAATAATAACTGTAATAACGAGATGATTAATGTTAATAAAGACCTGTTTTTTACAATTCAAAAGTCATTTATTTCATCGCTTTATAGCTATTTTGCATTCAATGCTATCATAGAATAACTAAACCAAAGAAACTGAAGGAAAGCCCAGAATATACGCCCCGTCAGTGCACAGGCAGTCAATCCCCTACCAGACCTCAACACAAGTGTTTATAACCAACACTACAATCGATTTGCCACTCAAATAGCATTACGTTATTACTTATTGTATAAGAATTGCTATTTTTAGCGATGATTTCATTAGAAATAATGATTTAATGAAAGAGGAATTTAGCGGAAAAAGCAATTATAAGAATCAATCATTGATACCATCCATGAAGAAGCCATCACTCCATGTGTCTGAGCCATAGATGTTGGAGACATAGCACGTATAGACACCAGAACTGATGGCCGACACGCGATCGATAACCAGCGATGAGTAATCTTCGTGAGACTCTATGGACACTCCCATCGATGCATCCGATGTCAGGGGCTTCAGCTGATGGCCGTCTTTAAGCCATCGGAACTCCAGAGGAGGACTTCCCTCCAGTAGACGACAGTAGACACGGACTGACTGTCCGTTTATGGCATTCTTGTCGAAGTAAAAGGGCTTTAATTTGGGAGCGTTTCCTATAATCACCACAAAATACAAGCCATTAATTACTCGCGAAGAAAACAATCATTGCATTTATGACACAATCAATGGATAGGGTTTGCAATGAATTCACTGATATTCATGTAAATCATAATTAAATTCATTTTTAAATTCACTTTTCATATAATAAATTGCAAATGAACTCAAAAATAGCCATCAATTACACAAACCTTGATATGAGTGTTGAATGTATGAGATAATGATGATTGCAATCAATAAATAGTAACACATTTCTTGTTGCGTTAAAAGTAATTAATTTGAATATAAATTACTAAATCACTGAAAGGTATCACTCATTGAAATACATTGAGAAGAGAGAGTGAAATGGAGACAAAAAACAATAAAAACACAAACAAGTCATCGGTTTTCAGATGAAAACCATGTTTATTGGCGTCAATGAAGACTTCATCTCATGATTGAGAGAAACAATTAGTGAATTGAAGCACTCGTTGATTGAAGGCTTGATTTGAATGATATTTAGAGACAATATTTGATAGCATTTGAAGAGTCAATGAAATGATGAGTGAATGGAAAGCATTGGTTGTAATGAATGGCAACAATGAGTGAGTTGTGAATGCATTGAACACAACAGACATTAGTGTAACACAAGTCTGCGAGTCGTGAGAGAACTGGTGACGACATTACAGGGCATAGGAAAGCCTGTTGTGCGCACTCTTACCACTCAGAGCACCGATAGCTCGCAGGCTGTGAGAGACTCGAGCCCTACATTGCCTTCAATTGAATCGCAGGTCCACTGAATCACACAATGACTACAATGTCTTTAAGGGAACCACCGTTTCCTCAGCAGCTGTTGTGTTGCCCTTTAAATCTGTTCCGACACTACAGACCCATACCTTTCCAGACAACATATGAGTTGCAAATCTTATTACACTTTTCCTTTGTTTATTATACTTTAAAAAGTTTTTACTAAACTCTATAAACAAACTTTTTAAGATCTCTCTCTCTCTCTCTCTCTCTCTCTCTCACTCTGTCTCTCTCTGTCTCTCTCTCTCTCTCTTTCTCTCTCTCTCTCTCGCCTTCATATCAATCATGAGATGAAGTCTTCATTGACATGAAGTTTTCATCTGAAAACCGATGACTTGTTTGTGTTTTTATTGTTTTTTGTCTCCATTTCACTCTCTCTCTCTCTCGCCTTCATATGTCATTCGTTCACTTATTTCCCTTATTATCATTAGATAAGACATATTTAGTGTTTATTTGTATAATATTTATTGCTTTAAAATATTAAACAGACTTTAGAGCTCTTATTATCGATACAAAAGTAATTTAAAGTATAAATAAACTCATTTTAAAAGCGTTCAATAAATTAGTCTTATATCGCATGAAGAGTTGTATAAATAATATACAATACTATATAATATTATACGGATTCTGTGTTATAAGATAGGGTTTGCTTAGAATTCTTTCATATTATCTAATAATGAATTCTTTACAAGAATTTGTGGAAAATTAATGATTGAATATTTATTTTTGTAAACAATTTCCAAGAATCTTATGATTTAAAAATGCAAGTTATAGACAAACCAAAGCTCACACATCAAGGACTGACTGATAAATTATTGCAAATTATTAAATATGTTTCATAAAGTGTTTTCTAAACAAGATTTTGTTTACTTTATTAGAGTTTAATATATGTGTAAAAGATTAAAATTGTAGCGTTATATTAGTTTTTTCTTAAAACATGAATGAAAATCAGTTTAATAAACAAATAAATCAATTTTTAAAATTTAAATATTTATTATAATTTATAAACGTCTAGTCATTTGTATGCATAACATGTTTACAGCATTTAATCGTCAGCTTTTTTAGCTGACTTTGACTTTTTCTTAGGCCTTCTGGTTGTGATGGTCTCCACGTCCTCTTCGGTTTCTTCCTCTTCTTCGTTGCCTCCAATCTTGTCGTCAATTATCTTCAGCTTATCGCCCACTTTCTTCTCCAAATCCAATTCATCGGAATCGAGACCCAACTGATCCAAAGGAAGTTTCTTAAGGGTGTCTGAGCTCAGCGCTGCCTTCAGCGGTATCTTCTTCTGAAGTTCACTCAATCTCAAGCCCTTTAGTGCCGACGCTTTCTTAATGGCGCCACTGATGGGCACGGCTTCCTCCAGATCTCCCAGACCTCCCAACGATGTCAATGCGTCGAGGAATGCATTGGTCAACACAATTGCATTCAATGTGATTATTAAACAAATAGATATTTTCAACATCTTATGACATCAAATGTAATAAATATATTGAGAATTCTTGGCAAAGATTTAACTTAAATTGAATAGATTTTATGAAACTCTTATCAAAATAAATAAATCTTCGGGTTTTAAAATTAATTGAAAAAATGGATGAACAAAAACTCGCGTTCAAACCCAGATGGAAATTATTTATTATTACTTGATTTGATTGGCAGCACATTAGAAAAATGTATAATTCATACGATATTATATTCAACATTAAAAACTCTTACGCTATTATATACAGTACTTTTTCTATTGAATGTAAAGATTTTCTAAAATGATACGAAAATCTCTATTGAATACATGAAAGAGTTTGTGAAATAAAAGTTTATAATGAAATGAATCGACGATTAGAAAGACAAAGAATACTCTGAAGAATAATAGGCCGGTATTGTAGTCGTTCACAATGGGAGACAATACAACCATTCATACGATTAACCCATTGCCGGCTCTGATCTTGTGTTTGATTTATTTTATTTAATGTGAAATAAAAACAAAATTTAAAACTTTTCAATTACAATTAATAAATTATAATATTGTTTATCAAATTATTAAACATTAACTTTTATTAAGCATTAATTCTTTATTACTTATATTTTATTTATACTGTACTTTTACTGTACTATACTGTATAAAGTAAACATACTATTAAGTTAATATCAAATAAGTATTTTATTATTCTTGCGATAGTATAACCAATTATATTTAAAATCATTTAATAAAAATTGATATTTTATTTACAAGAATTAATGTACTCTGCTATTTAGTCATGCTTTTAGTAATTTTGCATGATAGGAAATATTAATAAAATATCAATATTAAAAATATTGCATGCATAATATAAAATAAAATAGTTTTATTTCTTCTATAAAAATGTTTATTCACTTTATTAAGCAGTCAATCTGGTAATGAAACGGTTTTTAATGTCGGGCATACCCTTCCTAATAATAAACTAATGACATCAAGTAGTAGTATAAATACAATAAATATTAATTTATACCCGTAATAAATATGGAAAATTTTAAACAAAAATGTTGAAAATACTAAGTCTTTTTATTATAAATGTCTATTCATTACACAACTGATGAGAATTCTTATCGAAATACTCGTGTCGTTATAAATACCCCTAAAACTCGTAAATTTCAAACCCATAGCAAACACTAATATTTTTTGTTTTCATGGGAAGACATTTATCACATTTGTTGTACACTTTAATCAATTTTTATCGCACCGACCGTTCATTACTTGTTTGCGAGTTAACCGAAAAAAGCAATGTTTAAAAGGAAGTAATACATTATGACATACCTTTCCAACTGGATATCTATGGCAATCTTTTATACATTGTATTGGAATTTTTTATTGTAATCTTAAACAAGAGTTCAATTAATTGCTTCTCTGATATTTACCAAACTTTAATTTTTAATGTCATATTTAAAAATAAATAAAACTTTATACAAGTAATCAAAAGTCATGGATTTAATTAAACGCAATTTTAATCAAATGTATGAATGCTTATGTAATGGTTGTATGGACTGCACTCAGAATTGATGTTATATTAGCATATTATTGTCAATTTAAACTTTTGATTCCCATCAGCGAGTTTCCCATGCATTTAAAAGTTAGTACAATTTTTAATTTATTTCTTTCATTATTTGCCAGTAATTGAAATCTAAAATTTATACGAATTTCTATTAATGTCTAAACACTTCCAGTGAATACCAAAAATCCTTGACTCCGACGTGAGATTCATAAATATTTTCGATCACAAAAGGATCGACACATGAATTAAGCGATGGATATACGGATGAATGCACTGAAACTTTTCAAGACTTTCATAATTTGATGATTGATTGAGTGAAGCATATATTGAGAGACCGATCGATTCGCTTCACTAGTTATATATTAATATTTAGCTTTTAATTAAACAATTTTCTTATAAATATGAATCGATTGAATACACAGTTGTATTAATTGTATTGTATTTGATTTTCTGTTATATAAATGTAAAAATTAATATCATACTTATATAAAATATCGACAAATGAATTAAATTAAACACCAAACAAAATAGAGATACTTTCAACATCGTATTGTCATTGCATAACAAAGTTATTTCTAAGCCATTTAAGTCATTGACGCTGTAAATTCACACCGGTACAAGTTAACCGGGTACTATTTCTAATTAAATTTCTTAATATATACAAATCATTTATCGATAAATAAAAATCTTATGATTTAGTGAGTATTGGATCCCTAAAATCTATTGAAAAAGACTAATCATATTCTTCGAAGACTTCTTTAACAATACTAAAAACAAAGATATTTGTCATCATTTTTTGGCACTTTTAGCGTTCACTTCGCCCTTTTTGTCGTCTGATTTTCTTTTACGGCAAGAGTTCTGTAAAATATAACATATTATTAATCATTAGAACCAAGAGTAAATAAACTAAAAATACTAACCATTGCGCCAATAGTAGCCACTTCTGTATGAATGGATTCTCCCGGTGCCGAACTCATGAGTACTACATTCCGTGACTCCTTTTCTGTCGTAATTTGAGTCATTTTCGTGGACTGATTGCGATCTTCATTGTGACCATCGGATGGTTGTGTTTCCACACTCATGACGACCAGTCCTTCACTATTCGGTTCCGGCTCCCATTCGACCGGTGTTTGAATTTTCTTACTATTAGTATCATACCGGTATATCACCTGAAACATGTAGCCGGAGAAATTCACTTTAAGCAAAACCCAATCGGAAGTAGTAGTAGTACTCATAGTTAGCACTTTTGTGAATAAATAGTACTTTTGGAGAGAAAGAGATGTGATTTCAAAAGTAAAGACAACTGAACAACAAAAACTATAAATGTGATGTATCTAAAGGAGTCGCCTAGTTTACCTTCAGAATAGTCACATTTCTCTACCTGTGCCTCATTATATACTTAACATTGACCGTATAAACATTGAACATACTGTATGTATGTAGACTAGCGAGAGATCCGGAACGTTTGAAAAAATTAAGCTTGTAAGATTTGTCATACCAACTATAATATTTATAGTTAGTATTTTTAGATAGGATTTGAATAGATTTGTTATATTTGTAAGTTGGTATGACAAATCTTACAAGCTTAATCTTTTAAAATGTTCCGGATGACTAATGTAGACTCTACAATTCTGTTTCTACAATTGTACTCTCTCTCTCTCTCTCTCTCTCTCTCTCTCTCACACACACACACTCACTCACTCACTCACTCATCACTCACATATTTCTCTGAACATATAAATATAAAAACAAGAATTGCTTTGAATTGAAATATATTTATTAAATAATAAAATTGAAGAAACATATCATAGCATAGACTAGTATTTAAGGACTAATCGGTCGTCAAATGAAATAAAAGTCATGTAAATATAAGTTAAAAATAATTATAAATTATTCTCAAATACAATTGAAATAATACATCGAAATCGTTGAAACAAAATGATTGATACAATTATCTACTGATAGTAGAGACCACCACTTGTTGTCGAATATTCTTCAAAGTCTTTTTATTCCTATATTTGCGATAGATTTTGACGGCGCCATAGAGGGGCAGTGCGGCCACTCCGAGCACCAGTACGACAGCGCCGGCACAGACGGCAAGTGAGCCCAGAATGGGGACTAACATGAGTTTGCTGGCGAAGACGGCGCCGCGAATGAGTTTGCGTTGCATGGGTTGGTTGGCTTTGTACCGGTATTTGCAGCCAAAAATGCTTAACTTTGAGTAATGGTCGCCAAAGAACTTCAAACGCCTCAACCGATCGCCACATTTGTAACAGAAGTCGGTCTTACATCGGGTGCAGTGCATGTGATCGCAACCACTGGTCCGCTGGATATATATCTGTCAGTAAAATGAGTGTTAATGTCAGTAATGAATGGATGGTATGTCAGTAACGAGGGAATGGTGTGTTTGTGAGCACATACCGCACAACGCGGACACTTCTGAGCGTTGACCTGTCCATGATTTGTCTCCTTAGCCCATGTCTTCAGCAGTCGATCCCCTTTCCTATACTGTTTGCAACTCAACTCTATTTGCAAACATTAATGCAATCAAATATTAATATTTCTCATTATTTTAATTGAATTAATTTATACATTAAATATAAATATTTTAACACTAAAAATCAAAACCAAAACAATTTCTCATTTATTATTCATAATGTTTGCTCAAATATTAATTAATTTAGTTGAGATTCAAATCGGTATGAATGCTCATAACGTGTTTGTATTGCCATAAGAATTGAATTAATGATCAGTTTTATGGACAAAAATACATTCATTACACACCAAAACTAATCAATAGTTTACAGTAATCTAGTGGTTCTGTATTGTAAAGTATGTGATGCGAGCCATACCTGAATGCCAAGGGCTGTGACATTTGAAGCACCAGAAGAATTGACATTCTGTGCACTGGACTCTAATCAACAAAAACCATAAGCCGTTAATTAACACAAATCAAGAAACATAAATTTAATTAAATTTCATTACAATATGATTGATATTATTAGATATTATTAAATGATAAAAATTTGCTTTTCATTTTATTTCACAATATTATTCATTAAAATATGCATAAAAGAATACTAAGTATTAAATTAAATGTATTTTTAGAGTCAGGAATAATAATCATTTTATTAACAATTAGAGGAAATGTATTAGTATTGAGACTATTGTTTGATAAAATGACAAATATTTTTGTTTAATAAAAATATCTATAAAATATCGCTTCAAACATGTATTTCCTTTCAATCGGTTAAAAGTAATTTCAAGGAATTATCAGATTTTGGCAAAAGATACACAAAAAATGCAATTGTTTTATAGTTTTATGAACATTACTATCAAATGCAATATATTGCTATATATTTGGGGAAAATGTTACATAAAAAAGGAATCAAATATAAAACAAACAAAGATTTCAATGCCTATACTTTGGTGTTGCATGAAATCATGGTTTTATTCAAATAGAGGCAAAATAAATATTTGCCATTCATTTAATGATATCAATGTCTTTTTAAGAACTGATTTCTAGATTAAATTCTACTGTTTTTTGGAGCAGACATTCAAATGTAATGCTAAAAGTTAATTATTTATCTCAATGTGTGTTTTGAGGCATATTTAATGAGCTATTCTTTCAAAACAATAACTATTTCTTGAAATAAAACATATGAGTATTGGCTATAAAATCTAATATAAGTGTAATTGATATAAAAAGGAAATAAAAAAATATTTATTACTACAACACAGTAGAGTTCAAAACCCACACAAAATGCAAACTCTTTTCCTCGAAAAGTATCATAATTTTCAGTACATTAGGACTTTCCTCTAAAAAACTTTTATTAATTGATTAAAAATGTATATAAAAATGTATATAATAAGCGAGAAATTACCTAAAAATGTGGGAGTCCTTCATTTTGGACTTATACTGTTTGAACAGATCGTCGCTTAACGTGTAAAAGTAGTTGCATTGCGGACACGGCTTCGTCTGCTCGGACTGACTGCTGGTCGTCAGTAGGAGTCTGTGGTAGACATCCTTCATCTGCGGCGTAAGTCTGGCCGATATCTCGTCTCTGTGGACAAAACTGTGGCAAAAAGGGTTAATGCATTCGATGGTAACGGCGCCCAACTCTATACGCGACGAGTAATACTGTTGAAGGCATTGAATACACGCACAGTAGTCACAACAGTGGCGTTTGTTAAGCCACCCGACCTCCAGACATATGCCGCACTCGGCGTAAGTCCAGGGGCCCACTGGGAAGTCACCGCCCGACCCATCATTCAACACCAAATGCTTGACATCTGTTTAAACGTTATTTCAATAATTAATTTCATAATTCATATATTGCCGTATAATTAATAAAAATAAACATTTTTATTGCATCTTATGATTTATGGCATTTTTTGTGTAATTGCCATATATTATGTAAAACTTTATATAAAACACGAGTTAAAACATTAGGTTTAATGACTGAGGTTTATAATAGAGTAAGGAATTTGGCGATTATAAGAATGTTATAATGTTTTCGTTGAGTTTTAGCAAAGAAAAAGTTTAATAATTTATCGCAACACTCGCTCCAAGATTTTTATATCACAAAATGCTCTACAATTCTATACATTATTAAATTTATTTCTATCTTTACGACTAGAAATACATCATATAATTCATCGGTATTAATGATTATGGATGTGAACACACTATTGAATAAACAAAAACTCATTTTCAAGTGAATCATTAAATTTCATTTTCGTATTCTTGTCCTCTCAAGGATTGAATTGAATCAAACAAAAACAAACACTTTTTGTCTACAAATATTCTTGTGATTCATACATCAAGTATCGGTTTACAGACAATTTCACGTAAGTATTCACTGTTTCAATGGCTTTGAAACTAACATTGAAAGTGCTGAACGAACTCTTTAATCAAAATAATCATTCAAAAGTACTTTTCTTATAAACATAAATCGGTTTAATGTTTTCAATACTGTTCAGCATCAAATGCTAGCAAATAGTGACTGTGTTTCAAATATTTATATTACATTTGTATAAATCAAACCTTTAATTATAATTGTTTTCAAGTTTAAGTGCTATCTTACAAAAGGTCTCAAATTTAAATGTATTAAATAAACAGAATTTTTATGAAACTTACAAATATACCATTTGATAGATTGAGATCTATAATATATAGCAAAATATCGACAATTAAACACACAATATGTCAATATATGGCAAATCGTATTTACTTTAACTTAATTTCCTTTTTCACAAAAAGCAGAACTAAAAGTAAATATAATATAATATAATATAATAATAAGCTTTAAATCGATCGAAACTCTAATTGAAATGCAATCACAAATCGATACAATTACTTAATAATCATTGGAAATGAAATTATAGATTGCATTATATTCCGAAACACAGCCTATCAGTGAAGGCAACTGTGTTTAACACTCAATTCAATAGTATTCAAAGAAATTCAAATCTCAATATTTGCTGAATATTAGTAAAACAGCACTTTATATGCTGTTAGGAAATGAATTGCTTTTTGTGATATACAATCAGAAATTACTTTCGCGTGAGCTATGGATATAAAAGCCTAATAATAAGTAATGGATAGACAAAAATGTTGACGATAATCATATAGGAACAAAGGATACCATTAGATATTTGGTCCATAAGTATAGGCAGTCAATGGAAATAGACAGTAATGATAGAGTGAATGATTACTTAATTAAAAATTAATATTTGGGCCAAAAATATAAGCTTTCAATTCAATTAGAGCCTTAGTTTTTGGAGCAAATCAATACACTTTACGTTAGAGATAATGAAAACAAATAAATAATATTTCGATAATATATTCGACACTTATTTCTATAAATTCATATTAATATTACTTTCTGAGAAACCTTATCGCTATTACCTCTCAAATTGTTTTCATACGTATTACTCATTTTCTAATCAAATGATAACTAAATGACACAAAATGTATAATAATTTCTTAAAACTTTAACCACTAAATGAATGAAAAATAAAAATACTGCAATAGACTCAATAATTAGCATTCATTCACAATCGATAGACACAACATAAACATGTCTCGTAATGACAATTAGCTAAACCTTAACTAATCTCTTGTAGTAATAATAAAATTAATATTTGCTTTTCGCATGTATTTACTCAAAGCTATGAATAATACCGGAGCCGTAAATATTTCATGAAATGCTATTTCGTTTGCTAAATATAGTCTCAATGAATAATATTTACCTGAAAGTGAGAATCCAAACAATTTAAACAACTCTTCGGTGTTGGACTGATTGAAATCAGAGCCCAATTGGTCTCGATTGCGAAGTATCTCTTCGAGCAATTGTCTCATTTCGGACAACTCTCCGAGAATTAACTCATTAAATACGAGATCCGAATGGTGTGACACTGAGTTGTGGTCATCGCTGAAGTCGCTGACACTGGATATGACTTCGCTGTCACTGCTATCTGATGCCAAACTGTTGGTCAATACGTTTTGGTTAGCGATCACATGTCGGGTGCAACTACTGGACGCCGAACTGCTATTCGATGATATCGACTGCCGAGCCCTACACGAGGAACAAGTGGTACTCGAGTCCGATGAGGTCGATGTCGAAGAAGACTTGAGCTTCGAGATGAGGTTCTTGACGATCGGCACTTTGAAGTCATTGACAGTATTGGTGGTGTCGTTGATGTCGATGACGACGTCGTTGTTTGCATTATTTGTATGATATCTAGCGATGAGACCATTGATGGAGAGGTTAGGCGGTGTCTGGAGGGGCGTCGGGTGTGATGTGCGGCAAGTGTTGCGCCGGCAGTGGAGCCGACAGTTTTGATTGCAGTGTTTGCCGCACACCTGTCCCTCAACTCCTTTTGTTCCCATCATATCGTCCACATATGTCTGGAGTCTGACCATTAGGTTAATGTTGTCGATGTCTATATATCTGCCATTCGTTAAGTCATTGCTATTATAATCACAATTAGTATCGTCTGACGTGAGGTCCAAAGGCCACGAGAATCTTCGATTGGATCCCATCTAATGGTGGTATCAATAAATCAATGGTAAGACAAACCATTCATAACAACAGACACATCACAATAAGTCAAATCTCAAGACATTTGGTGGTGAGAGGAGTGAATGATTGCAATACAAGACTATAAGTAATACTTATTAAGTATGCCTTCAATACGTGAATACTATCTAAACTAACGAACCATTTATTAAAAGGCATTAAGAGATTATGAAAGTTATTAAAGTTATTAAAGTGTGTCAAACAATCGCTAACTTTGTTTATATTTAAGACTCGTTTTATGGCTTTTAATATATAGTGAACCAAATATTTGGCTAAAACTTTCACTTTTCAAGACTCGTATGCCTTCAATGAGTGCTGTTTTTCAATGCTTTTCTATGCGTTTGCTTTGGATGTCAAGGCTATCCAATATATCCAATTCAATACTACTTTGTATTGCCATTCAGTGTTAACTCAAAAATTACAATATATTTCAAATGATAATTTCATTCAATTTCTACTAACACTTAGAAATACATTGAAATAACGAAAACTCGATTTTAATTCATTGCTTATGAAAAATCAATACAAATATACAGTGTTTGGGATAATATATTGAAAATATCATATAAACCACACTTACCTTGACTTCAATTCAGTGCTAATTAATTATGAATTAAAATACAATTTCTTATATATATGTATACTTCACACAAATATAAATTCAATAAATATTTATTAATCAACCATTGAATCCATAACACAAATGATATATCAATTCATTTTCAATACTATAGTCATATGAATGAAAAATAATTAATTTCTTTGTTTGTTCACAACATCTTCAAAAAGACAATACTTTCGCGATTCGTTTCATTCATATAATACTTTTCAATACATTTATTAATCAATTAGTGATGATTAGTGTAATGAAAATGAAAGCAAAATAAAAAAAATTGAAAACTAATTGTGCGTAAAGCGATGGTTGTGTCTCATAATGAATGCATTATACCATCGCTTGAGTGGTGAATCAATTGATTGCATATAGTTTTCGATTGAATACTTCAAACATAACAACAATAATCATAATAACAGTGAGAGTGCGACAACACAACAACACTCGACACTCATATTCACTGCAATACTCTCTCTCCGACTCTCTCTCCCTCTCATCGACGGCTGTATTCACAGCACTATTGCGTTCACTTCACAGCTGTTTCGCACAACACATACAAAGCAAACATACCTTTCAGTCGGTGCGAGCTTTCTATGTATAGCCCAGCGATGAGAGACTCGACAATCGGTGAGCGCCTCGAGGCTGAGGCTCGCGCGCAGGGCTCGGGTTGTGCGCCAATCCCATGACGTCAACCGCGAGGGGACTGTCCACTCATTGCCGCGTGGGTTGGCCGAAGAGTGCACTTCTCGATCACAAAGAGTTTTTAATTAGTTTTAGTTTTAATTAGTTATTAAACTATAGATTTAGTAACAGATTATAAGCCTTTCAGTTGACACTCAGTTGTAATCAACAAGTTTTTCCTCTGAATCTTACATTTTTTCCTTTACTTAGCGTTTACTACAATCAAGTTGTGCCTAAAGTTGCACCCATTGTCTCATTCAATGTTTAGCCCGCTTTAGAAATCCTTAATTTGAACGACAATTTCATTTTTAAATTAACTTTTGTTTTTCATTACAATTGAATACAAAATATAATTAGTTTTCAACACAAATATATTCCTAAATATAAAGTTAATTACAATTTCTTATCATTAAAATTGAGACACACTTTGAAAAGTATCGATAAAAAACAAAAGACATTAAAAACAATTAAATGCCGACATAAACACGGGTTAAACCAGTGGTCAATAGTGGGGAAAGTGGCGAAGAACTAGCGGACAATCGGTGGTAAAGGGAGTGAAGTGGTGGTGGAAGTGAAGGAAGTGATTGTGAAATACATGTCATAATTGATGGACTATTTGTGAGACAATTGTTTTGCGTATTTGTTGTTCACATCACAAGAGGTGTGAAAATAAACATTGAATTCATTTGTCATTTGATTGTCGTCGCGATTGTCATGAAATCCGTGACCAAGTGATCACCGCATGGACTAAACCGCGGGACCCGTTGTGGCGATGAGTGTCCCGGACTACGACCAGTGCGCTGATGACCACCAGTGCCTACTTGTGATCGTAAGTATTGAATCGAAAACTATATGCAATCAATTGATTCACCACTCAAGCGATGGTATAATGCATTCATTATGAGACACAACCATCGCTTTACGCACAATTAGTTTTGAATTAGTTTTTGTTATTAAACTATAGATTTAGTGACAGATTATAAGCCTTTCAGTTGACACTCAGTTGTAATCAACAAGTTTTTCCTCTGAATCTTACATTTTTTTCCTTTACTTAGCGTTTACTACAATCAAGTTGTGCCTAAAGTTGCACCCATTGTCTCATTCAATGTTTAGCCCGCTTTAGAAATCCTTAATTTTAACGACAATTTCATTTTTAAATTAACTTTTCTTTTTCATTACAATTGAATACAAAATATAATTAGTTTTAAACACAAATATATTCCTAAATATAAAGTTAATTACAATTTCTTATCATTAAAATTGAGACACACTTTGAAAAGTATCGATAAAAGACAAAAGACATTAAAAACAATTAAATGCGGACATAAACATGGGTTAAACCAGTGGTCAATAGTGGGGAAAGTGGTGAAGAACTAGCGGACAATCGGTGGTAAAGGGAGTGAAGTGGTGGTGGAAGTGAAGGAAGTGATTGCGAAATACATGTCATAATTGATGGACTATTTGTGAGACAATTGTTTTGCGTATTTGTTGTTCACATGACAAGAGGTGTGAAAATAAACATTGAATTCATTTGTCATTTGATTTGTGATCGCGATTGTCATGAAATCCGTGACCAAGTGATCACCGCATGGACTAAACCGCGGGACCCGTTGTGGCGATGAGTGTCCCGGACTACGACCAGTGCGCTGATGACCACCAGTGCCTACTTGTGATCGTTCGCGATTGTCATGAAATCCGTGACCAAGTGATCACCGCATGGACTAAACCGCGGGACCCGTTGTGGCGATGAGTGTCCCGGACTACGACCAGTGCGCTGATGACCACCAGTGCCTACTTGTGATCGTCAAACAAATCGGTCCGTATTTGCCATTGTCTTCGGCCACTAATGATGCGCTCACTTCCTCTTAGGTCCGCAAATGAGTCCGAAGTTATTCAACCGGATCTACGACGGGATCAGCAAACTGTGTGAGATATGCATCAGCGATGCCCAGGGGTTGGGCTTTGAGCGCAAGGTTCGCGTGAGATATAAGCGGTCCTACAGTATAGATAACAACGATTGGGGAGACTTCCAGTCGCACCGGAAGGTCTTAGGGCTCATCACAATCGCCTACTTCAACAACACCAACGAAATTGAGTCCATCTATGAGTTGCACAACACGTTGAGAGACACCTTCGCCAACACTCTGTACGACTCGCGCTGTTTCCTCGTCAACGATATCACTGACCACTCATTGGGTGCCAACGATATCACTGACCACTCATTGGCTGCCAACGATGGCGTCGACCATCAAACCACTGTCAAAGAGTCGCACAAAGACTCGGCCATCGACTTGACGGCCCACTCGACAGACGCCGAGTCCATGAATAGCCATAATGTCGACAGAAATGATTACTTCGATGAGACGGACGAGTCGTGCGCTCGGATGCGGAGTCTGTCGAAGTCGTTCACCAGCGCTGGCGATGACATAATCGAGGGCTTCGACATCAACGACCGCATGCCTTCGTGTGGTGACGAACCCATCCTAAGTGATAGCCATTTGTCGATAACTCACGTCAATATAGACTCATCTGAATCTAGTCCTGAAAGTCCCGAATCTATTGATGAGACAATTAATGCTCAAAACTGTGCGACCGATGAGACGGACGGCCGGTTGGCGGTCGAGGCGAACGGTTCGCTGCCATCGAGTCCCACGAATGCCACGAAAACTCTTTCATCGCATAAAAGTCGTAACGATTTGAGCGATGATCTGCCAAATCATGTAAATAGTGATAGCATTCAGACACCGATCCCATCGAAGCCTCAGTTCACGGAATATATTCGCTACGAATCGGACGATGAATGTTGCGATCGGATCGAGACGAACGTCAAAGACTTCATATCATCGCTGTTTTGGGTGTTGGAGAAGAAACGGTTGGACAGAACGCACGAAAAGCAGGAGAAGATTCCGCTTCTGATCGCGCCGTTCGAGAAGAAGGATCTGATCGGTTTGGACACCGATTCGCGAACATTCCGGAAGCGATGTTTGGGGCGAATGCGGAAACACGTGGCAGACCTGTCCCTTCTGGCCGGCCTTCCCAGCGAAGCCCTCACTCACTACTGCTCAGCCATCGAGCAGTTGAAGGCTGTCAGCGATTGGCTTTGGTTGGCCAGTGCTCTCGAGGGCCAGTGTGTGGCCTCTCTCACACTACTCTATCCCAATGCCTGTCGACGTGATTCCTCGTCGTTTCAGCGCAACGCTTCCCTCCCGTTGTCTAAAAAGAGTTTCTTACCATTTTTCCAAAATAGCGTGAGATTCAGAGAGTTGTCATTCTCAAACGGTTTACCATACCTGGGCCAAAACCGATTCTTAAATCCATTTTTATATAATTTAGTTTTACTTCAGATCGATAAATACAAAGAAGCCGCCTGTCATTACGCAAAGGTATGTCCCCACCTGTGGTTCATTGTTTTGGCATCTCTTTAAAACTGTCATTTTGTTTGTTTAGTACCGAAACGCCGCTATTCTTGAGTTTGAGTGCAGTTTCAAAGCTGCCCGGGTGCTCACGGATATGGAGAAGTATTTGTGGGCCTCAGAGTTCATACAAAACGCTGTCTTCATATCATTCAATCAGACTAATGAAGAACAGGTTAGTAGTCATACCATTCCCTTGCTATCCGTTAGTCTAATAACTTTGTTAACCAAAATGTCTAGCTTTCTGATAGTTACTAACGTCTCAACATAAGTTTATAGCCAATGAGTTCTTTTCGTCGCAAAATAGCAGCCAAACGCCGTGAGTTTCGGCACAGTGACGTAGAGGAGAACCCCGATTGGGAAAAATGTTATTATCTATTGTTGCCATCACTCGAGGGCTACCGTCTAACACTGGATCCCATCGAATATCAGAGGCGTATCGACACAAATACTATCGGATGGCCCGGAATTCATATGCAATTATTGCAAGAACTGGTCACCACTGCTATCAAAATGAATTGCGAGCCCTTAGCTGTCCGTCATTTAAGTTTTTTGTTGCACTCACTCTTCGAGCACTTATCAGTTCAACAAAGACAAGAGTTTGCGTCCAAATTGTCCACTTTGTCCGCGCGTTGTGGCGAAGGATCTCCTGTTCCCTTAAAGCTTCAAAATGGAGCCGTTATTCCTTCCGTCAATTTAACTAAATTTCCAACCGTTGTATCGTTTAAAGTGCAGAATTTGGCGCCACATTTACGGCCCATTAAACTGAAATCCAAAACCAAACCCATCGCCACCTCTACCCCTTCGAGTCCCTTTATATTCACACCCCTCCAGTTCAATAGAAGTACTGTCAATACTCCGCGACGACTGTCCACTGTTACCACATCTATGGACTTCAAATGGGCTGAAGGAGAGATCGCTACTGTCAACATGGTTTTGGACAATTATCTGCCCATTGATCTGAATATAACTCACATGGCATTAATGACCGATGGATTGGCGTTCGAGACATATCCCACTTCATTGACATTGGGCTCGGAGTCCCAGAACACGACCGTTAGCTTAACGGGTATTCCTCGCGCGAGCGGTCGACTCGATATCTTAGGCTATACTACACATGCATTGGGTGTGAAGAGTGAGTGCAGACTTCGAGAGCTGCCGAAAGCCAAGAAACTGAAACTCCCGAAGTGTTACTCAGTAGAGATCATCCCATTCTTACCATTGATTGGCATCACGTGTTCTCTGCCAAAAGCGAACCAATTCTCGAGTTTGTTGGCCAACGACAGCACACACATTGCATACAGCGCTTCGGTAACGATGTTTGCGGGCGAGAAGAGGACGTGTCAGATAACACTGTCCAACAACAGCCCCAATAGTGAACTCATAGAACTTATAAACATCAGTGTTGTGTCGAAATTGCCAAAAGAAAACGAAAAGTTATTGTTTGAATGGAGTGAGAGCTCCATCAATAGGGACCTACCGTTGGCCTGTGGCTCAGCCGTCACTTTTGACCTGACCCTCAACGCTATCGGCGACTTTGTGGTCGATCCGAACCAAAACAAAAGCAATACGAGAGCGGCCAACAGGTCGACCGTCGCGAGCAGAACCCAAACCCCTTACAGCTCACACCAAAACTCTCCGTCCCATACGGGCGGTACCAGTGCTACCAAAAAGACTCAACTCTTAGGCTCAACCACTTTAGCGAATTTTATATCTGAATTACAGACAAGTAATAAATCCAAACAAATAAGTGATAAACGAATTACAGAAAGCCTCGAGTTCTGTCCGTCAAAGGTTTGTCGCAAATATTCATTCGTTTGTTATTCAGTCATAAAACCTATCTTTTGCTGAACAGGTAGTTGAGGCCATACTTCAGTTCGAATACAGTGGAGGGCCCGGTCTGGCATCGGGTTATTGTCGGCAAAGCTCTTTAGCCATAATTATTGAGATCCAGCCCTCACTCCTCATTACTCATTGGGATGTATTGCCCGCAGATCTGTGAGACAAATAGAGATTTGAATGCAAATTGAGTTTATAATGAAATCCTATTTGTCTTGATTTAGGCCAACAAATTGCTTCCTAGTATTGGATGCACTGAACGCCACAACACAAGAGATGGAACTTCGCTACACATCCAGCAAAGAGATACTAATAGAGGCCAATGAGACGTGTCGTATACCCATCCCTATAGAGCGCTGTCCACTTGTCGACGACGAGGCAGACTCTGACGACAAAAGGGACGACACGTCTCAGTCTCTGCTCTCTCGTTGTCGACAACACCTTATAAATCAATTGAACCTGAATTGGATGCTCTCGACGACGGGCATCAAAGGGACCGCCTCTGTGGCTAACGTTCCCTATTCCGACCAAATGTTGAATTCCATTCTATTGTCTCCCATTCAATGGGGTTTGTGTTCACTATTATAACATTTTTCATGTTTATGTCGACATTTAACTCAAATTATTTGCTCCCTTAATGCCAACAGAAGTGACTCTAAACGAACAAAATCTAAGGAATGGTAATGAGTTTATCTTCAAAGCCGGTCAATACATATCTGTCGGCATATCGTTATATAACTGTTCGGCCGTTTCGTTGAAGTCATTGAATCTCGCCATCCATTACTACCAGGACTACCAAAACAGTCACCGCATCGGCAAAGAGCGTAACTATCGGCTCGACATGAAGAAGGCGTTGACCGGCTTTGACAGAGTCCTCATTCCTGAGGTAACCTTATATTTGGTTCATAACATCCCAAACCATAACTCAAACGTGTATTTGTTGTCTGAATTGATGATTAGATCGAGTCGATGAAGAGTTACAGCCATGAATGCGGTCTAACCTTCTTCTACACCGGTATCTATAAACTGGAGATTGAATGCAACTCTAATAGCATAAGTGACGAGTCTATCAAACATAAAGTGCTAACAAATAGTGATAATCCGCTGAATAAGGCGCCAAAGAGTCCCTCGACTTCGATGTGGAAGTGTTCGCCTTCTATAGTGATTAGTATTGAATAAGTGATTGACGTTTTTATGTATAATAATAATAACTCTGAAAAATACATAAAATATATATCTATTTATTTGAATTCCTAATTGAATGATAAATAATTGCTGTTTTATTCGTTGTGTTATATATTTTAATTAACTTAAAATATTTTTATGTTAATTAGTACCTTATAATTATGTAATTAATGTATTATTAATGCATGCTTTCATAGCTATTAAAAAAACCTCTAGATTACCAAAACTTCTGTATTCACTTGAAACTTAATAAAATAAGTATTATAAATTTATGGCATAATCTGTTTTTATTTTAATATAAATTAAAATTACGAGTGTTTCGATTAATTTATTTGAATCTATAATTTATTTTATATTATCAGAAGTGTGTTAAGAAATTTGAACCGAAATGTATGCAGAATCTAATTGGCCCAATGACATGCTCAGGATAACTTTACTTGTACGGTAATATGAAATATTATTACCGTATATTGCAAAATATTCTGCAATACTTGTAGAATATCACATATCTAGCATAATTCAATACGGTTACTGTTACTTAAATCTACATTTTAAGTTAAGGTGTGGACAAAAAGGTATTTTAAATATATCTATTGCTGTAGAAAATATTTTAATAATGAATAATTTTTACTCAAAAGTACCCCGTACATACTAAATTATTTAATACTTTTGACACTATGTGTAGAACTGTGACAACAGATGTACAGAATATTAACCCCTAATTGTATGAGACCTTGAATACAGTGTTTTTATACACAGTTCTCTCACATAAAGGGATTATCAAGTACAGTACAATCTAATCTAGCTATAGTAAATTATAGTAATATTTCAATTAAATTATCATCTACCGTACAATTGTGTACTGATTTCTCATATAAAAATAATTATGTTTAACAGTTAGAAAACTAACCTGGTTCACTATCTCAATATTGTCCAGGTATATTACGAACTCATATGTACATTGTAGACATTATCCACTGAATTATATTTAGCGGCAAAAAGTTTGCAAACAATTGATAAAACTGATGACAACTTGAATTGTGTACAAAGTTTTGACTTTTTATTGTTGTTTTTGAAACACATGTTTGGGTTTAAAGGTTAAGACCTAAACATACCTTCATTTCATTGTCTCTTACAGTCATTCTTGTGGCAATGGATCAGTTATGCGATGAAAACTCGAGAGTTTGATTACCGTTGTGTTCACTATTATTTTCCGTACTGCTTGTGGTTATGAACCTAGACTAGGCTGTATAGTACCTAACACCTGTGTTCTTCAGGCTGTCTTGCCCTTGCCCTTGACAGAGACTGTTTGGCACTCAATCCAGATATTCGCTAAGAGATGGTATAATAAGGATAATTGCAATACAAATGCATTAAATCATAATACTTTTAACGGTCACTCACTCAGGAGTCATACCTCTATTGACCACAAAACGCGTCTTCTGGAGAGGAGTTCTCGAAGAACTTCTTTGGTTCATAAGAGGCAGTACTGACGGCAAAGAGTTATCCAAAGTTGGTGTCAATATATGGGACGCAAACGGGAGCCGATCTTTCCTCGACTCTTTGGGATTCACTGACAGACAAGAGGGAGATTTGGGACCCGTTTATGGCTTTCAATGGAGACATTATGGCGCCAAATACGACACTAAAGCCACCGATTATAGTAATAAAGGTGTGGATCAGCTGAAGGAAGTGATCAATACGATTAAGACTAACCCAAACGACCGGCGAATGATCATCTGTTCGTGGAATCCGATCGGTATATGTCTTAAACACAAGAAGTGGTCAATTGATTGATTATGATCTGTATTGACGCAGACATACCACTAATGGCATTGCCTCCCTGTCATTGTTTGGTTCAGTTCTATGTGTCCGATGAAGAGCTCTCGTGTCAACTCTACCAGAGGTCTGGAGATGTGGTCAGTAATGAAGTGTCTGTCAATGAGACACAAAAAGCATGTCTTAATATATACACTAAAGATACAGAAATTTTTGATCACCAGAATAACAATATCGCAAAACACTATATAAACACAGTTAATAAAACACAGTGAAGTCCCTGACCCTCATGGCAAGTTATAGCGGTCGATAAGGGATCTGACTCATATGATGGCCCACATAACTGGTCTCAAATGCGGTGATTTTATCCATACCATCGGTGACGCTCACATTTATACCGACCATTTGGAACCACTCAAAGAACAAGTATTTTATTGTTTTCTTATTATCTATTGTTTTGGGATTTAATGTCAAATTTAATTGTTTTCTCTCTCTCTCTCTCCTCCCCTTTCGCTTCAATTTATGGACAACCATTCAGTTGAGCCGAACTCCACGTCCATTCCCAAAGTTGGTTATCAAACGCAAAGTCCAGGACATCGATGACTTCACAAGCGATGACTTCGATCTCATTGATTATAAGCCTTACCCTAAGATTTCGATGAAAATGTCTGTGTAGACGGTTCCCTATCAAGAGACCTAAAATTGATCAAAAGATCTAATTTTGATCATGATCAACTACCGTTTAGACACACTATAACATTGATTTTAATTGTCTGTCGTTTAATACACACTTTACTTATCTATCATTAATCTGAATTTAAAATGGAAAATATTTTTACGAAATATATATTGTATTTTAATTAAATTACTGTAATTTTAATTACTTTATGTCTTTTTTATGTATTATTAAAATTTGATTCAATTTGTAATTACCGGTATATCTTGACAGAAATTATACCGTATTCACCAAATCTCTGATTATAATTAGATTCCGAAAATTTATTAAATAAGTTTTTAATTCTTTTTGCCTATATTTCATACAGTATTTAAAGAGAATATATTCACTCAAAATTGCCTTATTCATTTTTTCCAAACATTTTAGTCTAAAATGTGTTTATAATTGAATTAATAGTTGTAAAGTCATAGAAGTCATGACCCAACTCTTCAATCAATGTGTCAAACATTATAATGAATTCCATAATTTAATCTCATTATTCAATGTTAAACATTC